TAAAATATAGGTTTACACATGGTCCTACTGAAACATGGGGGAGGTGAGCTTCTAAGATATTTTAAATTCTAATATAGGGCATCTGTATTTTAGTTGTGATTCATCTCTGGTTTATAGGAAATATCAAATGAATCTAAATTTTATCGCAGAAGAAGAACTTCGCAAAGTGGAAAAGCCTTCACACTAGAAATTAGGCATATGGTTAACAGAAAGTAAAAGTATTAGAGTAAAAACAAATGTGCATCTAGTAATTAGTGCTCAGCAGTGATGGTGACATAGGGAAATCTCATATGCCTAAACATATTAATTTTCAGTGATAGAGATGCAGTGATTGAATTGTTTGCAGACTTAACACATTTTAAGTGCATTTAAAGTTTCAATTAATGTGTAATGAATGTGAAGTCCAGTCAAACTGAAGTATTCACTTCACAACTTCTATTCTCTGTGGGTGAATAAAAATTGTGACAAATTCTGACACAGCCAGAAAAGTTAAGATTGTACAGTAAAACCTGCGCTATCCAGCACTTAACTATTTGGAAAACTTTAGAAACCGGCAAATTTCCTAGGGGCTTGGTGTGCCCCAGAGCTTTGATCCGGCCGGTGAAAGGCTGGGCGCAGCCTCACGGCACGCTGCTATGATCTGGCCAGCTGGCAGCTGGGCCGGGCAGCTGGCGGCCCCTACAGTGCAGCTCCAAAAAGGGACCCTCGGATAACCAGAATTTTTAGATAACTGGAATGCCCTAATCCCCGAGCGTGCCGGATAAGACAGGTTTTACTGTACTAGCTTCTGTTCAGGTGATAAGTTCTGCAGTGCAAAGGGAGAAAACTGCATAAACTAAAAAGCTTGAGGATAGTTATGTAGCTTAGAGGTGGGAACCATTCCACAACTCTCTACCAACAATAATCCATCTATCTACCTCCAGCTAGGTGTCACAGTCTGAGGAAATTACAACCATCCTAGAGAAGGGGTTTTCAAACCTGGATCTTGGACCCACCAGGGAAAGCCCCTGGTGGGCCTGCAATGCTTTGTTTACTCTAAAGCTCCACAGCCATTTCCAGCCAAGGGGAACTGCAGGAAGTAGCATGCAATCCCTGATGGGTCTGCGACCCAAGTTTGAAAACCTCTGTCCTAGTGCTGTGCAGCCTCACAGAAGACTGAGAGAAACCAAGTCTCTGGTCTAAGACCCAATTTGTCAAATAATTAAAAATATTTCTCTTTGCAACATGAGCCATATCTATCCCCATCTCAGATGCTGGTGAGGTGTGGTTTGGGACATCCTATCATCGCTTCCTCGCAGCACTATTTTATTATGGGGGAGGAGGGGCAGAGGAGCAATCTTTCGACAATGTGCTCACTCCTGTTGTCAGAATTCAATCACATCAGACCAAACTTCCTTTCTACACATCTTCCCTAGCAGGCTCAATATTCATCAACAAAAGGAATGTCCACCTAATATAAGGACACCTGAGGATGCACAAAGCATGCTCAGTACATTTTCAACACTGTTGGTGTGGCATTCAGAGAAGATAGAATGGCTAAGTGAGCTGATTACATATTACCTCAGTTAACATCATGAGGCTGTTACCTGGCAGCATTGATGTAAGTGGAAATAATTTCTGGCCAGTACATGGCACTCATGTGAATGACACAAGGGGGTGGGGGAGGCATATAACCTCCCCATGTATCCCCCCCAAGCAACTCTACCCTATCTCCCAAACCAGGACTCCTGCATTCTCCTTATGTCCTCTTCATGATCCATGTCCATTCCACATTACCTGGGAGGGGGCCTCTGTTCTACATCTGCTGTGGCAGAAACTTTTGCTGACAGACCCCAGGCAGGGGTCACAGTGGGAGGCCAATGGGAGCAAATGTCCCCGTTGGCTTCACTTACTCCTTGTAAATGTGAGGAGTACAGATACCAGCGGGAACTGCCCTAAATCATACACCAGAAGATCAACCCCCAAAGAGTCGACCCACTGGTAAGTATAGATGTGCCTTCAGTGGTTTCACCTACTGGACCAGACTGCCCTATTTGCACTACTGTCAATAGAAAGCAGCTTTTATGAGGCATGTAGAGCTTCTTTCTGTCAACAGCCAAGCCAGCGCTTTTTGCTGCAAAGGCTTTTAGGAAATGTGGTATTGTATTTAACCCCATGCCTGGTTTTGAGAGTGTGAAAGTGGAGACTGTTGGTGTGGTACTATGCAAAACAATGCAAGTTAACTACTCAGTTCCCTAAGGGTTTCCAGATAAATTGTTTTCTAAAATGTAAATTCTGCTCTCACACATTCATGCACTGAAACAGCGTAAGCTGCATGTGTCCCTAAGGATTTTGGAGAGCCACTGTCAATGGTGGTACAATGCTGTGAATAAGTGAAGGCTTCCGGAAGCTGAGAAGTAAGGCCAGCTGGGACTTCTCCATACAGTAAATATAGCCCTGCCTCATTTCTCTACTGCCAGATACCTCCCTTATCAGGCTTCTCTCCTAATATGACTATCCTTGCAACTGCCAGAAACTTCTGGAATGATTTGTATCCCCAGCTATTTTTTCTTGACCCAGTTCTTAGGCCAGCAATCAGAAGGAAATGATCAGTGAGTGAAGCTGAGCAAAGAGCCAGGAAGTGAATAGGAGATACTCTATCCCGGAAGGCTTAGGAGGTGAAAGAAATGTTACTGTGTTGGGGGAAGGCAAAGAGCCAGGAAGTGAATAGGAGATACTCTATCCCAGAAGGCTTAGGAGGTGAAAGAAATGTGTTGGGGGAAGAACAGGGAGATAGTGCTAGCTGGAGGGGACTCCAACGAGTGGGAGAGAGAAGAAAAATTCAAAATGAGCATAGTGATACCTATACAAATCTTAACATATGCCCTTGCATTAATGTACCTTATGGCCATATTCATGGCATTTCCTTTAGTAAGTTTAGGGAATTCTGTAATATTTACTTGCAAATGTAAAAGTTTCAGTGACAACCACTAAACCTTTTGTCATTTTCTCAGTATAAATTGCTGAGAACAAGTTGACTTGTCTGCAATTCAGAAGATCAGTGTCAGAATAGAGTTTCATCCTATCTTTTCACTTCCTCACATGTTAGTTTGTGCATGAGCTTTAAAATTGTTTAATATATTTTTAAAGAAAATGAACTTGTTTGTTTTTTAAGAAACAAAATCTTCCATGTCAGGTTGTGAAGTATGGATTATTTACCTCCAAACTGGAAGAGCAAGATCCAGTCTCAGAAGTAAATGCATATTTAGGCTTTAAGGCATATTGTTTTTCCAGGTAAATACATGTTTTGGTATACACATTCTTTAATATACAGTTATGTGGGATATTTTGGTAGGCATAATGTTTACCATTATTTTTTTAGAGTGCTAACTCTGAAAATGTGCAAAAGAGCAGATTTCATGTAATGTCTTCAATACTCCTGTATCTAAGAAACCACATATTTTCTAAATATATATAGAAAAGTTAAAAAAAGCTGTCTAGTTATGAAGAATACATTTTCCTGCCAAGTTATAAACTCTTGAGAAATGGTGTTTGTATTAGAAATTCTGAGACATCCTTAAATTCAATATTAATAAAGAATCATGATCAGTAACACTGTAATTACAGCACCATTGCCCATATTTGTCATTAATGCAATGATAGTTAATAGACCTGAGCTATTGCACATTCAGGAACCTATGGAGTTACAAACTTTAGTCATTTAAGTGTGGGATGATAGTTTTAGGATAAAAAATGTTGCACTGCTTGGAGCAAATTCATTTATTTTCTATATTTTTATTTAGATAAATGTTATTTGGATAAATTATTTTTATTGGGATAAATATAATGTTTAAAATTTTAAAGGCAAGTGGTATCAACTGGATGAGCATAAAATATATTAAGAAAGAATCAGGTAGAAAGCAAATATATGTCACAGATTAAATGATCAATTTTGTAAAATGCAATCAATTTAATTTGCAACAGTCCGCACAATCTATGTTGAAAGAATGTCCCAATAAGTCCCAAACTGTACAATTATCAGGTTTCCATATGAAACAGATTAACCTAAAAAAGCAAATAATGTTATTTGACCAATATTGAGTAGGCCCCAATCCTGAAAAAACTGAGGAATGTGTTTAACTCTACACAGTGTGAGTAGTTTCATTGGGATTACTCAGCACAGTAAGTGTGTGCAGGATTCGTTTCTGAATTTGCACACACAAACTATCACTTTTGAATATGCAGCGCAGGTAGATGTTTTGGTAACTAGTTTGCAGAAACAAATGTTGCACCTGCAAATGTAGGTTTTTGCATGCTACAATCTGTGTAACAAAAATTGTAAGTGCAAATTCAGAGGCTGGGTGGAAAATTTGGCCCATATTTTCCATTGTTTTTATCGGCAAGAATATTCTCATGATGCAAAAAAGTAAATACTTCATTTTTTCATATTTAATAAAAATGTTTCCATTCTCTATTCTGTTGCCAGAATCCTCACATTTCATGTGTCAGTACTCATGAAAACAATTAGCCTAAAAGTTGAATTTTGTCCAGCTACCGTACAGAACCAATTCCTAATTCACATGAGAAGAGGCATCTAGTTAAACATCTCCTTGATCTATTTCTTTCTTCATAAACCTGTACTGACATATAATACTTTCTGCAGCACCATATTTCTATTGAATGGATTCTACAGCTTAGCACTTTAAAACTGCAATACAAGAGTGATCAGGATGTCAGGATAGTGTACAGTATGGTTCATACTGTTTTATACACTGTTTCCTCAACTACAGGTTGAACCTCTCTAGTCCATCACCCTAGAGACTGATTGGTGTCGAACCAGAGAATTTGATGAACCACGGGAGATCAATGTTGTCTACCAGCATCACCAACACTTCTACTGCTTACTGGGCTCTGAGAAAACATTTAGGGCAAACTAGAATTAAACAACAGCACAGAACACTGAGAGCCAGGACTGGTTGTTGTAAACAAACTTTATAGGGCTGTGGGAAACCTGGCCACACCCATGCTAAGTGGACATCTGACTAAAATCATGCTGGTGTCTGTATATTGCCAGACCAGAGAGTGCTGGACTAGAAAGGTTCAACCTGTAATAAAGTTTCATCATGTTATTCAAGGTTTTTAAAAATGCCATATTTATGAAAATAGAAACTGCTTAGCACACAAGTGTAAGAGAATAGTTGAAGTATTCTAATTTTTATGGAACACAAACAGCATGATTCAATAAATATTATTGCCATTTTATGGAGTCAGTGTATTATTTTATGCTCCTTATCCAAGCTTCATTTAGCAATTAGAACATATTTGCTGTGTATTTTGTTTATATATTAGTAAAGGGGCAGTTGATCAAGTGACTAAAGAAATTAATAAATTAAGTTTTTTTAAAAAATAGGATATTTGTAAAATGAACTTGAAAGTGCTGAATATGGATAGTACCCAGCTAGCTAGTTACAGAACTTAACACGGTAGTAAAAAATGATTGACTAGGAGTGTGATTCAGTGATACTAAAGGAGTGTCCAGATTAGCAATATGGTGTTCAGTAGAAATCTTCTTTTGATGCAAATGACTCCAACTTTTGATGGCAACAGTTTTTGTATTATTACTGTGGTTTATATATTGAAAAAGTGGCTGGATAATTTTATACTATAATTAAATGTCTTAAATAGAAATTCTTATCACCAGTGGCTCTTACTGTATCGGGCCCAATCCAATTTCATTGAAGTCAGTGTGTATCTTTGTACCAACAGCAGTGGGTAATGTACTGAACTCTGTATGGTCAACTTTCATAATACATCACATTTTTAAAGGGACTTCATCTTAGCCACCACTTTTGCAGGTGTAACTTAGTGCTCATAATTAATTTACAGCATTATTGCACAATAAATTGGGAGCACAAAATTGTGTCAGCAAAATTAGAGGCTATTTTAAAACAACAAAAACAACAACAATAACTACTACTACTACTACTCTTTCATAGCCATAGAAATAAAATTTGCTATTTTAGGATCCAATTGTTTACTAAGGCATAATTCCTCTTGGACTCAATGCTATATGTAGTGATCGCAAGAGCCATTTGTGAAAGGTGAAATTAAATGTTCTGATAAAATATTGATACAATATTAGCAACTTATTAATGAAATTCTGTCAGTTAAGATGCAATGTGCCAGCATTTGAAGATGCACCAAAATATAGTTATTGGCACCACTTGTTTTTAAATACATTTGTACTAAATGTATGTCCAGTGCTTCCTATGTTATCAGCTATCTGAGATTTAAAAACATTCTGCAATGAAAGTATCATTGCCAAGTTAGCTGAGACACTACAACCCAAGTGCAAGAATACTATTCCATGGAGTATTGACCAGTAATAAAAAGGGACTGTCAATCTCTCACACATACAGCCTTTTAAATGTTCTGATGTAGAGCAATGAAATAAAAAAGTGCTACATTCACAAGAAGTCTCTTAAGAAAGTTGTGCTGTATTTTGTACTGGAAAAACTTGCTTTTCAAACAAAATTTACACTAGCAGGAAACAAATAAGGGAACTATACCTAAGCAAATCTTGGTTCATTTGTTAAAAAATACCATGTTGTCTAGTTGTGGGCAGAGTTTGGAGCAGTTCCATTCCCCTACTGGAGGTGGAAGAGAAGATATTATTTTTAAACCAAGAGCATCTTTGTCCTCAAATGGAGATACTGTACGCTCAAATTTACATTTTGTCATTTACCAAAACACATTCCAGAATTGTTGAAGAGGAAGAGAGTAGTATTTTATGAAGGCACACCCATGCTGAATTTACAGGGAGTGGGGGAAGCCAAACTGCATAATGCAGTCATATTACAAGGCTCATTCTTGAAACCTGAATATCATGCTAGAAGAAAATCGAGATATGTGTTATATTTTGAAGAAATGTTTTGAAGGCAATATTACTTGATTTTTTTTTAAATAAAAATGCTTTTGAATAAATGTGGATAGAATCTTATCGAAAGAGGGAATGGAATGCTTGTATTGCAGCCTTAAAGAATCACATTTTCACTGCAATATTTTTTTTTGTAAACTACAGTCTGCAACTCAGCAGACCATGACTGAATGGTTTTGAAAACTTGTAGATTACAAACATGAAATCACAATTAATATCCTCTAAAAGTAATTTCAGAGCTTTCACGTCTTAAAAAAAGGACAATGTGTACTGCTTCACAAGGTAATGCAGCTAATCAAAAAAAAGGAGTAGAATTAAAGTATTTACATAATGAGCAATTCTACAGAAGGCGATCATCCCCATGTAAGCACTGCTGATTATATCCCACGCTGCTTTTAACAAACTCTACCAGATTGGCTCCAGTCATCAGCACTTTCAGAGAATCCTTAAAAGCCTTTGATGGCTCTTTATATTTATTGTAGAATGATGTTCTTCAGGTAGAATATGCTAGTGAAAGAGGATAGTGTCAACACAAGGTACCAGCAGGAGAACAGAACTTCAGCTCCACCGGTAATCCCATACTGGGCTGTACTTGGAGCTGGAAAGAAAAGAATAAACATTAAGTAAATATTTCTGTTGCTCATCCCCAATTCTTTTATTTTATATTAATCATGAAATCTTTGCATTTTTCTTTCTGTCTCAGGCATGCTCAATATGAAACTAGAAGATAACTGGAAAATGTAGCTGGAAGACAGAAAGATGCTACAAAATAAAACTGATCATGTCTATTCTTTCATTTTACCTAGAACAATAAATAATTATAACCACCCACACTTTCAAATGTGGATGCCTAAAATTAGGCATTTGCATCCTTGTGTAGACATCTGAATCAATGACCTAGTATTCAGATATGCTGAAGTTGTGGAAGTCAATGGAAGTTGTGTTGCTCAGCACTGCTGAAGATCAGATCATTGAATCAGGTGCCTAAATTTACATTTACATACATAATGTTAGACATCAAAGTCTGAAATTTATTTCTCGCTCAGAGGACCTATGTTTATTTTCACTCTCTTTAAAAATGATTTTGTTTCACCTTTTCTTAATTCTAATATATATTGTCATCCTCCATTTTAACATCTCAGTGAATATTATAGTTATAATGACTACATTCCAAATAGAATAAAAAAATACAATAGTATATTAAAAGGAACAACAATGGAAGAAATAAAAAAAGGTTTTGATACAGTCATGTTTTCTGATTGCTTTCTGGCTACTTTGTTTGGGAATTTAATACATGATTAGCATGAAAGAGAAAACTGGAAAGTGCCCATCTTCTTTTCACAAAATCATAAATATTAGAAATGAAAAAGAACTACAGGCAGTCCCCGGGTTACGTACAAGATAGGGACTGTAGGTTTGTTCTTAAGTTGAATTTGTATGTAAGTCGGAACTGGTACATATTGTAGGGGAAACACTAGCCAAACATTTCTCCAGAGCTCAGTTTTATTCTCCCACACCTCACTTCCCTCAATCCTTTATTCTCAAGCTGAGGTGTCTGCTGAAAAAAGCCGCTCCACATCTCCCTGGTCTGCTGGGGGGGGAGGCGCTAGCTTCGCGTCTCCCTGGTCTGCGGGGGGGAAGCAGCTAGCGCGGGGTTGCCTCACCCCGTTTGTAAGTAGGGATCCGATGTAAGTCGGATCCATGTAACCCGGGGACTGCCTGTATTAAATCGTCCTGGACATCCCTGAGTCTGCAAGCATTTTTCCACTGTATATCCATATTATTTGTACAGTTCTAACTGATACAAAGAGATGGATCTTTTACTTTTCAGATAACACAATATCAAAATTAGTCATTGTACATTATTATTTTAATCCTGGTACAGCATAAAGAAAAATGAGCTCGTCGGAACAAATAATATGAAAACTATGTGATAGCAACCACTACAAAATCTGATTTAATAATCAGTATGGGTTGAATTCTGCCCTCAGATTTGCACCCACCATTGCTGCTGAAATCAATGGAAAATGCATGTGTAACTCTCTATGCAAAATCTGAGCCTTTCCATAAGTGTACAAATACTGACAGGTCTGTGTCTCATAGCTTCATCAGTGCCAAAGTGCAGACCAGATTTTTGTGATATGGGCTTTTACTAGTTTCTAATACAATACAGAGTATGATCTGGATTCTGAATTCTGAATGAAACCAAAGCTCCCAGTCAAGTCAAAGACAGTTTGAATGCATAAGCAGTAAGAGATTGAGCCTTTGGACATATCTGCAATTTGCAAAGCTGAAAAGGAAATTACAGTTTACTAAAAGACTTGTGTTACCTTACATCACATCTTGATACAGTCTCTAACCCAGGAAAACTTCCCTATTTAGGACAACCTTCAAGCATGTGGATTTTAAGTCAATGGATCTTAAGCACTTGAATAAAGTTAAGCTTGCTTAAATGATGTCCTGAATAAGGATGGATTAAAACACGTTCTTAGGTGTTTTCCAAAACCAGGACCATAATTTTTCTCTTATTACCATACGGCCACGGCATCTTATTTTTAATCAAAGCAATGCTAAATTATCCCTTGTTTCAATCAGATGGCATTTCTTTTAAAAGAGAGAAGCAATCTAAGTACGATATCTTGCATTTTGATGTCTACTACTAATTATTCTTTTAGATATGATTATATCCCAGAAATTCAAAATTTGAAGAAGATGACAAAAATGATGATGATGATGATGAAGAAGAAGAAGCAGTATTCTAGGATTGTGCTTGTAGCACTGAAGTAAATTTTCCTCCAGATGTCCACATGTAAATACTCATGTTGTTTTTTTTGTTTTTATAAGTACAATTTATTTGTAACTGAATTCAATAAAATTAAATAAACAAAAATGAGAAGCGATAGTAAAACTGAGAAAATGTCATATTATTAGGTAATACAAGATAGTTTTTTTCTTCTGAAGAATATTTGAAGGTAAGGGCCTTATTCTATGTATTAGACACTATGTGGTATTACAATTTGCTTTTATACAGTTCAAGGCTCTTTGAGTCCCCTGAAACTGAATCTTTACGTTGTCATGATTATTTGTTTTTTCCCGAAGATGTGCCCATTTTCACTGACTCAATCTGTCTTTTAGCTTAATTACTCCTTAGTGATGAAAAAGAAAAAGCCATTTTCATATAGGGGAAAATTAATAATTATTAGTTTACTCAAACATTTCCAGTGCTGTATGTGGGACAGACAGAAAACCTACATTTTTGGCTTTATGATCTTATCTATTTGTGGATTCTGAATGCTTTTGTTGCCTCAAGTCTCATGATATTTAATTAATATATGTGCATAAACACTATTCCTTGGTCTAGCAAAAGGATCTTGGCATCCCAAACCTGGGATTACTGGATAGTTATGAAAAAATAAAGAAAAGTTAATATACTCATTCATTTTTATTTTCTTATGTATTGTTATTTTTCACATCATTAGGAGTGTATATTTAATACTTAGTTTTGGGGAAAGTAATGGAGAATTTACAGTAATAATGTTACAAATCATGAAGTTTCTAAATAGGTTAATGAAAAACATATTGTTTTGAATATTTCATTTGTTTAGTTACTGCCTATTTCCCCTCCACTTCCCTTTAATAGTCCTCCTTACATCCTAATATCTTAGGATCTCCTTACTCACAATGGGTAACACCTTACCTAACAACAGCCTCATTGATTACAACAGGCCTATCTGTAGTGCATACAACATATAGTGTACTATTCAACACGAGACGGACTTGCTGCCTCCTCTTTATCTTTAACACAGTCATCCTATACTAACCATTCCAATGCTTGGCAAGCTACAGTAAGTTTATCTGTAGATTTCTTGTGCGTCTACAAATGTATTGTCAATCTGCTCTTTGCCAGCTTCCTGTACCATTCTATAGATTGTTCTCTTCATTCCATTCACCTTGCTACTCGCACTCAGCATCTTGAAGGTAAATACTCCAAAGTATAAAAGGTCCTGCAGCTTAGCAGGCCTGGGATGGAAATTTCTATCCCTGCTGTACCCAGCTTAGCATAACCTGGGACCCTACAAGCCCAAACAGCAGCTGGGCTTTATCAGCTTTAATCCATGCTTTGAGCTGGGAAACTACTGAGCAGTAAACAAGTTTGACCTCCATCTCAGCTCATGAAAGTAATAAGAATGGTGTTGAGCCAAGTACGTGCACTCCCAATAAACAACTGTAGTATAACTAGTTTAAGAAGTCCCGTGCACATTGAGTCTCTAAAGGGACCTAGACCTTGAAGGGTGCCCCGAATCCCCCTAGCTGGAGCCTACTGGCTGGGAGCGAGGTGACCGGAATGGGACTCCCTGCAGGACTGAAGGGGCGTAAGCATTTCCAAGTGCCTGTTACTTACTCTTTTATACATTACTCTACCTATGCTTATTGGTGCATTACTTTGCAGTAGCTGTGTAACCATCTGGCAGTATTAAGCCTGTAATGGTGTGGTAAGAGTCATAAAAGCAACTATCTGTCTCTAATCGACACTGTCTTGAAGCAAATCCACAACCCTGTTGGGCCCTGTCCCTGTGAGCTAACACATGGGTCCTCCTCCACCAGGGGATACATGGGTCATGCCACTCCAACCAAGAAATGCCAAGAATTATTGAGAAAAATGGAAAGTGAATAATTACAAAATCTATTATTTCTTGGTGTTCTTCCACTTCTGTCACTGACCCTGACAATAGGAACAACCCACCAAATGTTTTTTCCAGATCTGGTGAGTGTTTTTGTCACAGAGCGATCTGGAAAGTTTAGCCTGCCTTAGCATCTATAAGTTTTCCTATATGTACACAAATATTTTTTCTATTTATCTACCAACTTACATTTTAGACCAGTTAGTTTCTGTTATATTTGTTTTAATAGACTGTCTTGCAAATGCAGACATAGCAGAAAACTGATTTGTGTCTCATTACTACTATTGTTTCAGGTATTTTTATTCAGTACTATATCTTGCTAATTTTACTGAATGGCATGTCCTTGGAGATCTTAGACCTGCTAGATCTGGAACATGCTGCAGAGAGTTTTATAATATTCCCAGTAAAATTACTCTTTCACCTTGGTACTATTCTGATGTTAATGTTAATACCAGCATACAGTACTTGGTAAATGGTAAGAAAGTATTTACTGGCAACTGGGAAAACAAATTGCTAATGGAAACATAAGTAACAAAACAGAATAATCTTTTCAACAGAAAGAGAATGCAGAAACCCCTATTATTGTCCTATGTCTAACCCGATTTTCTCCTTCACAAAACATACTTGTAGATCTACACGTCTTCTTAGTATCTAAGACCCATTCATTTTCTGTTTGGTTACAGCCCTTTTGAGATATTGTTGAATTGTCTATACTAGGACAAACCTCCTTTAATTCTAAATTCTGTATTTTTTTCTCTTTTAAGTCTGTGAATTGATGCTAATGAGGAGCAACAGAGGCGTGTACATCATTAAGACTGTATCAGAGATATTATGTGTGGTTATTATAAACATCTGCAACTTAGATAAATGGGTCCAGGAGCTGGAATTATCAAATTCAACTAATGCAATATAACAA